TGGCCTCCACCAAGTCCGAGAGAACCAAATAAAATTGTTCAATGATCCTCAACCAATCAACAGTATTAGTTTCTTCTAGGGGTCTACGATGATTTAAAAATGAAAGCTTAAAATACGTCCCCAACCCATGGCACCACTTGGAGGTACAGTACCAACCAGACCCAACCTGACACAAAGCAGTCCCAGAGCAGTCCCACAGCGGTCCCAGAGCAGTCCCACAGCGGTCCCAGAGCAGTCCCAGCAGTCCCTGCGGTCCCAGAAAGCAGTCCCAGCAGTCCCAGAAAGCAGTCCCAGCAGTCCCAGTGGGCGGGGTTAATTAATTTAATGGGCGGAGCTTACTCAGAAATGAGATTACCAATAAACAATGTAACTATAAAAGGCAGTTGAAATTGATGATTCATTTCTTTCTGAGCAGTATCAATTCTCATGCGACAGTCATTTTTAACTGTTAAGAAAATCGCACTACGCGTATAGAAACAAATAATAAATATTGAACAAAGAAGACGTTCACACCTATAAATAACATCAATATTTAAACACAGTTTTGTGGTAAATTAATTTTTCACCAAAATAAATCAATTTCTAAATTACTGTGATTGATATTGGTTTCCATATTTATTTTTTTTTTTTTTATTTTTTTTTTTATAGATAATTAAGCTTGAGTTATCTATTTTCTACCAAAACTAGCTTTAAATAGGCCTTATAATTATAGAGCAAGGCCGATTTCCATACTATACTCTGAATGCAGTTTTCTTAAGTACTGGAGCTTTTGAAAAATTCTTTGTGTATTATATTTCAGTCATGATTATTTTCACTGACTTGCCAATTTAATTATCGTTAAATTATCTATGGAACAGAAAACAATAATACTTTTATTATATAAACATTTGAGTGTACATCTGTAAATCACGCGAATGAAACCCTCAGATTATGTTCAAAATTAATTAATCCCGAAATAAATTTATACACATTTATTGAAACGAAGATTTTTTGCAGTACATAGATTGGAATTAGTGTCATTGTTGACCAGCATGTTCAGTGATGTGTAACACTGATACCCAAATAACATGCATTGACTTTCTGCTAATCATGCCCGAAGGCGATTGAAACTTCAGGTGTTGACACAATTTTATACATCTGTATTGCTTTTTATTAATCAGCCAGGAAAACACAAACAAAACAAATAAGAAATAAGTCACAATTCCCAATATTTTAAAATGTTTATGAATTTACTCTTTTAATTACTTGTTTATAAATCAAAAACAAATGCATAAATAAATCCCCTAATAATTGTTCACAAATATATTTTTTTAAATGACTGAAGAATGGTAGAATAATTTTTTTCATGGTCATTTAATAAATTATTAGGTTTTATTTGAGGGCTGTAAAAAAAAGCATGGAATGCTCTTTTTTAGCATGCATATGGTTTTAGCTTTTTTCAATTAAAAAAAAATCCAGTACAGTACGTCCTTATGAATGTCTTATTGTAATGACAAGTTTGTTTGTTTGTTTGTTTGTTTGTTTTTTTGTTTTTTGTTTTTTGTTTTTTTAAATAGTGCTAATGCAAACTTTGAGTACATTCCGTAACTTGACAGCATTAATTAATTAAATAGGCCTCGATATTTTTTTTTTCAATCACCTGTATTAAAGTTTTAATTAGCATTAATTAATTAAATAGGCCTACATATATTTTTTTTTCAAACACCTGTATTAAAGTTTAATTTAAAGGATAAAAGTCATCTCTTGACTTCCCTTTTAACTACTTTCATTTTTTAAAATTAATTCTAGACTACAATTGTGTAAATTTACAGCCCCTGAAGACATTTAGTAATTACATGTATATCTATCTCTACTTATCAAAATGTTGTAAAAAAATCCTTGTTTTTTTTTTATTCTTTATCTTAAACACCTCTGTGCTGAAAGTAAACAAAACAACAACAGGGAGCCTGCAAATTCAGAATACACAAGGGGCGGAGCTATCATGTCACTCAGAACCTTTTTCATGCATGAGTGAACAAAGCAGTCCCAGAAAGCAGTCCCAGGGAGTGCTGGGACTGCTGGGTCTGCTTTCTAGAGCAGTCCCAGAGCAGTCCCACAGCAGTCCCACAGCAGTCCCAGAGCGGTCCCAGAGCAGTCCCAGAGCGGTCCCAAAGCAGTCCCGGGGACTGCTTTCTGGGACTGCTTGGGTGTCAGGTTGGGTCTGGTTGGTACTGTACCTCTACAGCCCCATTCTGATAGCGGGACATGATAGTCCTAGGGGCCCTCTACCTAGAACAAGTAATGATTTGAAGCACATTTCAAAGATAAGGGGTATAATAGCTGACCTTTAACCCGTTTTTTTAATACACAAAGTGAAAAACAACAAAGTTCAGATTAGCTAACTGGCCTCTTCCTTTCCCCGAGACCCTTCAAAAAACTGGCAAGGGATTCTCCCTTAGGTCCTTAACCTTTCCTTAGTAGTCCTAGGGGCCCTCTACCTTGCCCCAGTAATGATTTGAAGCACACTTCAAAGACAAGGGGTATAATAGCTGACCTTTAACCCGTATAATAGAACACAAAGTGAAAAACAACATAGTTCAGGTTAGCTAACTGGCCCCTTCCTTTCCCCAGGACCCTTCATAAAACAGGCAAGGGATTCTCCTTAAGGGCCTTAACCTTTCACTAGTATTAGTTTGTTCTAGTAACCAAAGATGGTTTCAGAATGAATGCTTGAAATTCATAGCCCCATTCTGAAAGCGGGAAATGATGGTTCTTTGGGCTCTCTACCTTGCCCCAGTAATGATTTGAAGCACACTTCAAAGATAAGGGGTATAATAGCTGACCTTTAACCTGTACATTAATACACAAAGTGAAAAACAACAAAGTTCAGGTTAGCTTACTGACCCTTTTTCTTCCCCGGCACCCTTAAAAAACCTGGCAAGTGGTTTTTCCTATGGTCCTTAACCTTTCACTGGCGTTTGTTTGTTCTTGTGGCAAAAGATGGTTTGAAAATGAATACTTGAAATACGCCCCCCCCCACCCTTGGCACCACTTGGTGGTATTACTACAGCCCCATTCTGAAAGCGGGAAATGATAGTCCTCGGGGCCCTCGACCTAGAACAAGTAATGATTTGAAGCACACTTTAAAGATAAGGGGTATAATAGCTGACCTTTAACCCGTTTATTAAAACACAAAGTGAAAAACAACAAAGTTCAGGTTAGCTAACTGGCCCCTTTTTTTTCCTTTTGACCCTTTATAAAACTAACAAGGGATTCTCCTTAAGGTCCTTAACCTTTCACTAGTGTTAGTTTGACCTAGTAGCCAAAGATGGTTTCAAAATGAATACTTGACATACGTCCCCCACCCTTGGCACCACTTGGTGGTACGATACAGCCCCATTCTGATGGCGGGAAATGATAGTCCTTGGGGCCCGCTACCTTGCCCCTGTAATGATTTGAAGCACACTTCAAAGATTAGAGGTATAATAGCTGACCTTTAAGAAGTATATCAATAGACAATGTGAAAAATAACAAATTTCAGATTAGCTAACTGGCCCCTTTCTTTTCTTGAGACCCTTCATAAAACTTGCAAGGGATTCTCCCTAAAGTCCTTAATCTTTTACAAGTGTTTGTTTGTTTTAGGAGCCAAAGTTGGTTCCAAAATAAATGCTTGAAATACGTCCCCCACCCTTGGCACCACTTGGCGGTACCACTACATCCCCATTCTGATAGCCTGAAATGATAGTCCTAGGGGCCCTCTACCTTGCCCCAGTAATGATTTGAAGCACACTTCAAAGATAAGGGGTATAATAGCTGACCTTTAACAAGTATATCAATAGACAATGTGAAAAACAACAAAGTTCAGGTTACCTACCTGGCCCCTTTGTTTCCTCGGACCCTTCATAAAGCTGATAAGTGATTCTCCCTAAGGTCCTTAACCTCTCACCAGTGTTAGTTTCTTCCAGTAGCCAAAGGGGGTTTCAAAATGAATGCTTTAAATACGTCCCCCACCCTTGGCACTACTTGGTGGTACCACTATAGCCTCATTCTGATAGCGGGAAATGATACTGCTAGGAGCCCTCTACCATGCCCCAGTAACGATTTGAAGCACACTTCTAAGATAAGAGGTATAAAAGCTGCTTGAAATATTTGACCTGCCCTTGGCACCATTTGGTGGTACCACTTCAGCCTTATTTTTATGGCCATATATAAATAGCCTTACCTTGTACCAGTATTTTTTTCGAAGCACATTTAAATGATAATAGCTTAAAGTAGATTGAATTACCTTCAAACCCTATATCAATCTACAATATTAGAAGTATGCAAATTTCAGGTAAACTTATAGGCTCCGTCATGTTCCTGAGACCCGTCAATGGGCTTAAAAGGGATTCTGCCTGTAGCACTTAACCTATTTCCAACGTCGGTTTGTTCTTAAGCGGTCAAAGATGATAACATTTTCTTTTGTTTGTTTTCTTGTTTTGAAACCGCATAATTTTTCTTATGCAGATGAGCTTAACTGCCTCCGCGTGTTTGACTCATTAAGTAATTAAGTGTTGCGTTAATTATCTAATTATTAATTATTAATTGTCGAAAATAAAGTATAAACAGTATTGCATCAGAGTATTCTCAGTCCTTCGATGAATTTCCTTATTGGCTGCTAGCTTCTACGGGCTTAGTGACTGCCGTTATTGGTTGCTAGCTTCAGCCTAGTTGTAATATGGGGAAAATCAATGTCCGTTTGATTTTACTACAGATGTAAAAAAATAAAATCGCTAGACATTCTTTCATATCGAATATATATATATATATATATATATATATATATATATATATATATATATATATATATATATATATATATATATATATATATATATATATATATATATATATATATATATATATATGGTATAATTTATATGAGTAATACGTGCAAAACTCTTCATTTTTATTTTGCGAGTTCTAAATTCGAGCCACATATAAACTTACCTGTACTATGCATTTGACAATGAAAAACTTACCTGTACTTTTCATTTGACAATGTCCACGAATTCTGTCAAAATATTCATCATCAGCACATCTCCTATCCTGAGACAGTTTACAAATATTCATCAATGAAAAGACAAATTAAATCTGGAAAAATCAGATTATTTGCCAAATGATCAAAAGATTGTCTATTATTTGAACTTCATAGCACATTTGTACTCAATTTGAATGCGAAATTATTTTTACCACTTTGTATCTTTTACAGGTCTGTCCATCATCTGGAGATGTGAAAGTCAAGTTCAAGGATCTAACAAGTCTACAGTACTTGTCATCGTCAGAATCACAGACGTCCATCGCTCGGCATTCTGGATTATCTACGCACTTATTGGAGCAAGTTACCATCATGGAATAAGGAAAGGTTGTTATTGTCTTGAAAACATGCATATCAAATGCTTTAGGAACATAACCATAAAAAGACAGAGAATGATGGCAATTGTTTGCCTTTACGAAGGAGAACAAAGCACATAGAAAACATAAAATTACTGTCTCCACTCTAAATGCCATAGCGAATGTTTCCTAAATGAGTGCAAACAAGATATGACTGCTTTTACATGAAACATAATGACTGTTTTATAATTCATTACTTATTGATTACTTAGTTTTATTATCTTACAATTATCACGTGGGTTTGATAATAATGTGGATATTTCAATTATTATGTTTGTCTCCTACAGTACACTTATCTGCAGTTGGAAATATTGGGTTTTAGCAAATTTATTTCTGATTTTTAATTTCTGTAGCTGCAGTAATCCGTAAAAAAATCTTTACGGGATATGACTACCAGATATTAACGATCAAAAATTTGGTAGAACACAGCAACGTTGTATGAATTGTAATGCATTTTTTTTTTTGGGGGGGGGGGGGGGGGTACGTATATGTTACAGCATACGTATATGTATCCTTATTGAGAATACTAGCTATATACATGTAGTATTTCGATCCCGAGGGCTCAGATAGGCGAAAATATAAAATATATTTTATTTAGCATTTTCAGTGATCATTAGACTAAAATTGTATTACTTAAGAATTAATACAACAAGATAACATTGATGCAAAGCGTCAAATCGGCCGGAAAAAAATAAGCATAATGAAACTCACCATTCTCCCAGCTGTTCATAATTTATTCGTTATTTTTTTTTATTAATATAATTACTATCCACGAACTTAAAAGGAGGTGCTTTAACATCTAAAGCACTCCCATTCTGGGTAAAATTTAAATAATTTTTAGAGCTAATATCTGAAGGTGAATGAGTGAATATTGAACTGTATTAATAACAACAATCAAGACATACTCTAGGACAATTTTTAAGTCTTTTCTTTATAACCTTTATATACATGTATCTTATTATCGGGATTTAACCACTTAAAATGATAAATTTGCAAACAAAACAGAAAATCTTCGGGGTAAATGTTGTAGTTCGGAGATAAAGAAGTTTATGTCATCATCAGCTATTGAAGAAAGATCGTAGGAAAAATTCTAAATATTAGCAATTCATTTGATTTCGGGTGCATTGCCTTTTTCTGATGCACTGTTTTTTCCCTGTGTATCAGATAATAAATTATTTCTCTTTCTCAGTCCCTATTGGATGCTATGATCTTTCTAAAAAAAAAAGGAATATTTTTGTGTGTAATTCTATCTAATTTCTACTATTTTCTGCATTTTACAGTACCAACCAGACCCAACCTGACACAAAGCAGTCCCAGAGTAGTCCCGGGGACTGCTTTCTGGGACTGCTCTGGGACTGCTAAAGCAGTCCCAGAGCAGTCCCATAGCGGTCCCAGAGCAGTCCCACAGCGGTCCTAGAGCAGTCCCACAGCGGTCCCAGCAGTCCCAGCGGTCACAGAAAGCAGTCCCAGCAGTCCCAGTGGGCGGGGTTAATTAATTTAATGGGCGGAGCTTACTCAGAAATGAGATTACCAATAAACAATGTAACTATAAAAGGCAGTTGAAATTGGTGATCCATTTCTTTCTGAGCAGTATCAATTCTCATGCGACAGTCATTTTTGAACTGTTAAGAAATTCACACTACGCGTACAGAAACAAATAATAAATACTGAACAAAGAAGACGGTCACACCTACTAATAACATGAATATTTAAGCAGTTTTGTGGTATATTAATTTTTCACCAAAAAAAAAAATCAATTTCTTAATTTACTGTGATTGATATCGGTTTCCATATTTATTTATTTATTTTTTATAGAAAATTAAACTTGAGTTGTTTATTTTCTATCAAAACTAGCTTTAAATAGACCTTATGATTATAGAGCAAGGCCGATTTCCATACTATACTCTGAATGCATTTTTCTTAAGTACTGGAGCTTTTGAAAAATTCTTTGAGTATTATATTTCAGTCATGATTATTTTCACTGACTTGCCAATTTAATTATCGTTTGATTATCTATGTAACAGAAAACAATAATACTTTTATCATATAAATGTTTGAGTGTACATCTGTAAATCGCGCGAATGGAACCCTCAGATTATGTTCAAAATTAATTAATCCCGAAATAAACGAAGATTTTTTGCAGTACATAGATTGAAATTAGTGCCATTGTTGACCAGCATGTTCAGTGATGTGTAACACTGATACCCAAATAACATTCATTGACTTTCTGCTAATCATGCCCGAAGGCGATTGAAACCTCAGGTGTTGACACCATTTTATACATTTGTATTGCTTTTTATTAATCGGCCAATCGGCCAGGAAAACACAAACAAAACAAATAAGAAATAAGTCACAATTCCCAATAATTTAAAAAAGTTTATAAATTTACTCTTTTAATAACTTGTTTATAAATTAAAAACAAATTCATAAATAGACCCCCCAGTAATTGTTCACAAATATAATTGTTTAAAGGACTGAAGAATGGTAGAATAATTTTATTTCATGGTCATTTAATAAATTATTAGGTATTATTTGAGGGCGGTAAAAAAATAACATGGAATGCTCTTTTTTAGCATGGTTTTAGCTTTTTCAAGTTAAAAAAAAAATCCAGTACAGTATGTCCCTCTGAATATCTTATTGTAATGACAAGTTTGTTTTGTTTTGTTTTTTTTTTTTAAATAGTGCTAATGCAAACTTTGAGTACATACCGTAACTTGACAGCATTAATTAAGTAAATAGGCCTAGATATTTTTTTCAAACACCTGTATTAAAGTTTTAATTAGCATTAATTAATTAAATAGGCCTTAGAGATATCTTTTTTTCAAACACCTGTATTAAAGTTTAATTCAAGGGATAAAAGTCATCTCCTGACTTCCCTTTTAACTAATTTAATTTTTTAAAATTAATTCTAGACTACAATTGTGTAAATTTACAGCCCCTGAAGACATTTAGTAATTACATGTATACCTATCTCTTTTTATTAAAATGTTGTAAGAAATCCTTGATATTTTTATTCTTTATCTTTAACACCTCTCTGTTGAAAGTAAACAAAGCAACAACAGGGAGCCTGCAAATTCAGAATACACAAGGGGCGGAGCTATCATGTCACTCAGAACCTTTTTCATGCATGAGTGAACAAAGCAGTCCCAGAAAGCAGTCCCAGGGACTGCTGGGACTGCTGGGTCTGCTTTCTAGAGCAGTCCCAGGGCAGTCCCACAGCAGTCCCAGAGCAGTCCCACAGCGGTCCCAGAGCAGTCCCACAGCAGTCCCAGAGCGGTCCCAAAGCAGTCCCGGGGACTGCTTTCTGGGACTGCTTAGGTGTCAGGTTGGGTCTGGTTGGTACTGTAGTTCTTGTCCCAGCATCTACATGTATACCCTTTAGCATCCAACAATGGAGAGTGAAGGAAAATCCGGCAAATTAAAACCTATGTGTTTGTAATATACATGTGTATTAGATAATTAAATTGAGAAACATTTCTGTCATAATCTGGTAATGTCACATGTAAAGTAAGGCAAGATTTTCATAATCTGGTCATTCAATGAATATGTGATTAATGAATGTACGCAGAGCAGCAATTTAAGCAAAAACCTGCCATTGCAAGTGTTAATGTTTTTGATACGTTAGTATTTTAGAATGTGAGAAAATAATTTCTTCAAACAGAGACAGGAAAAAAATTCATACTATTACTAAAAGTCTTACAATTTGAGAAAATTTCTAAAATTATATATATATATAAAAAAAAATTGCAGATAGGTTAGGGACGCACATAGGAAATATGCATTAAAATATTCCGAGAAAAATTATTTAGTGATGATATTTATCTTAAACTGTATGAGTTTTGATGAATGATAATTCTACTCTATGCATATGTATATATCGGATCTCTGCTGAGTTCGGTCAAAGCGACTTCACTTACATCAGCTGTTTGTCACGTGACATGTTTAAAATCAGAAAAAAAAAATATATATACAGCTACTAAAATCTTAAAAATTCAACGACATACTGATATCTTTTCGCTATGAAAATGATTGTATTTTCTTTGATACAAATGCCTTAGCATGAAAAGTGCTGGGAACAACTTCCTCATGTCCGGAAATTAGGTAAAATTTAGCCCTCTTTCGATAAACTTCCTACATTAACATAATACGCATTGAAAGTATGTAAAATTACGGAATAAAGCAGCAGTGCACAACCAGCCCCAAGCACTTTTCAAAATAGTAGGGATAATAGATAATAGGTGAGCTTAAAAACTCATAATTTATAGTGAAGCGAATTTCGTTGAACTTTTGATTTTTCCAAAGGGCCTGTCATTCCAGTAAGTACAGATGTACGTTACTGTATACGTGTGCCTTAATGCAGATTTATTTGAGATCTATACATTTTCAATTTAATATGAATATAAAATATCTGTTAATACATTCAAGAATATTTCTCCATTGGTCAGATCATGCTTGTTTCCTTTTTAATTTTCATAGTTACATCATACAATAAGCCTGATCCACGCTGCAACTACTGAGAAACTGTCAGTGACGCCATTTCAGTCAGTGCAGCGAGATCAAGATGACTCTAATTCTACGTTCAAATAGAGTAATTATGGCAAGATAAGGTACCCATCGATTTATGTTTAAATTATTTATGAGAAAAGACTGGATTTGAAATTGTATGAAAATAGCATTAGTATTTATTCGCCTAAATTCATTTGTATAGTTTTAACATGACGTCATAATCGTTTTCCCGAACCTCTACAAGTATAGTAGTCCTTAACCTAGCTGCCATGTTCATCAAACGAAGATTTATTCAAGCTTTTTACTACATAGCTTTGTCTACATACATGAATGTAAGTATGTAAGTATGAATGTAAGTATAAAAAAGCCAAATTTATACTTTTTATAATTTTTTTTTTTTTTAATATTCAAAGCACTATAACCTGTTTTCTCGATATGTGCTACTTCTACGTCAATAGATGTTAAATATTCTTCAATAAAAAAGTTCTTCGAGGGGCTTTCGTGCATGTCTCAAGGCATGAGAATAGAATATTGTATAATCGCTTATTAGTCTTCATTTTTCTCCTATTTTCTCGGTTTACCGTTTTGCTACAATAACATGAAAGTAGACC